CTCTCTCTCTCTCTCGTATTCTATTACTGCATCTTGCTAACTCGGCCATTCTGGATGTCACTAACTCGGCTTCTTCTCCGGAGCCTTTGTGCTCCACTGTCTCTCAGATTAACTCATATCGCAGCGGTGCCTGGACAGCGTGACGTGTGTGGTTGTGCTGCTGCCGTGGTCCTGCCAGATGCCTCCTGCTGCTGCTGCCATCATTAGTCATTAGTCATACTTCTACTGTTATTATACATATATGACTATTGTCAGATATTAATACATACTTTCAACATATTGTACCACAGTAGCCAGAACTATAACTATAATATTATTACTTTCAATAATGTTGTTGTATGCTACTGTCATTACCTGCATCTCTCTCTCTCTCTCTCTGTCTCATTGTGTCATACGGATTACTGTTAATTTATTATGCTGATCTGTTCTGTCCGACATCTATTGCACGTCTGTCCGTCCTGGAAGAGGGATCCCTCCTCAGTTGCTCTTCCTGAGGTTTCTACCGTTTTTTTTTCCCCGTTAAAGGGTTTTTTTTGGGGAGTTTTTTCTTATCCGCTGCGAGGGTCATAAGGACAGAGGGATGTCATATGCTGTAAAGCCCTGTGAGGCAAATTGTGATTTGTGATATTGGGCTTTATAAATAAAATTGATTGATTGATTGATTAACTGTTTTAATTGTGTAAATCGCTTGCTGCTATTTTCGCCGCCTGTCTTTCAGAGGCTTCAGATGGCTGAGTTTAATGCTAGAGTGATGATACTGGTATCATGAAAGTAGATGACCTAAGGAATCCAGTTGCACTATACAAAGAAAATGGCCAGGGTCAGATAAACCCATACATGAAGAGCTCAAAATGAGCCAATTTATCTGTGCTGACGGAGTCGGGATATTTCCGACAGCTCCTGAAGGCAGCAGCGTGTTGTGCCTTGGCTCCAGCAGTAGATGGCGCCTGTGTTCAGCCTGAGCCTGCTCCCTCCGCTGCACTCAGACAGCTGAGTCACACATACATTTAGCCAGACCCACATTAATAGATACTGTGCGGAAAACCGCGGCTACACGAATTACCGTGAGGACACTGATTCAGCTGCCTCTGACACCACGAGGAATCATGCTGACGATAACACTGAAGACCCTCCAACAGCAGACGTTCAAAATAGAGATAGATCCAGAACTGACGGTGAGTAGAAGTTAATGGGGCTGAAGTAAACACGGTCAGGCCGGACCGGGAAGGCTGGCATACACACTGTAGCATACGGGAATGTTAGCTCAGGTTAATATAAAGCTATCCCCGGTAGAGGCTGCTCCGTTATCTCAAGGACAGAGTTATTCTGCTTATTTAAAAAGTAACGTTACGTCAATGTGCTAAATATGCGGCCATACAAACAAGCAATTCGGCAGGGTCTTATGGTGACTGAGTTCATGTGAGGTAACGTTAAGGTAGCTAGCGTTAGCTCATCTGTGATTGGACCTGAGCAAGTTAGCCTTCAAAGTAAAAGCGCAAAATTTTAATTGAATAACCGGTACAGTCACTTTATCTAAGCAACCACACGCCCCGTAAAAGTAATAAATTCGCTAAATAATACAGTGAAGTGTACAGTCTGTACTTACTGACGTCAGGAGACTGGTGAGCGGTATGGAGGGATTATATTGAAAACACCGACCGGAAGTGTAGTTGTACTTTGTTTGAACCTGTTAGTGTTTGACTTGTTTCAGTGTCTCACCATGAATGACGATGCAATATTTTAAACCTCGCGTCTGTTCATGTAGTAAGGACGGCTGGTTAGTAAATCTTTCTCAGAGAAAATAATAAAGCTTTTCTGAATTTTCTGATCACAGATTAAGTAACATGGAGGACTTATTGTTGAACTAAACATGTTTCCTGTGAAATGTTATCACGTGAATTACGGTGACTAGAACAGTCATTGGAGCTACACACCAAAGTAAGGAGCGTTAAACTGCTGTTAGTTATGAGGATTACATTTTTATTTTTTTGCTAAAGAAAAACGAAACTGAAAATATTACTTTAACACACACAGACCCATTTTTGTCTTTTTTTCAGGGAGGACAGGGGATCTTTAGGGGGAGATAGCAGATCAGCAGAATATGACATAGAGGTGGTGTTCATCAACTGAAAGCAGGGAACGTGAGCATTAATTTGAGGTGCAGCTCAACATTTTGTGTCAAATTTTCTGAAGAAACGTGTTTTGGTTAGACGTGTATTAAAAATTTGAAAGTTTAGAATCTATACAGGCTTAGAACGTGATGGAAGATATGATGGAAGTATATGATGACCATTCTCATGCTCAATTATGTCTCATAAGTTATGCAACAATGTTTGGGATAATATGATAAGAATTGATAAAGATGGTCAAAAGTCCCACCAAAGTGCCACATTAATACACTAAGACCTTGAGGAACACAATAGAAAAATCCATGCTGTGATTTCGTATCAAAGCCTTGTCACATTTAGAGATTTCTGTAAGAATTACATTTTCTTGGCAATTGGATAGTGAGCATTTCTTTTCTGGAAACTGCTGAGAACCCCCCTTATAGTCAATAAACCTATGAGAGCCCATCCATCCTCTGAATGCTCCAGGTCTCTAGTTTGTGGTTGTAAAGTTTCATGGGGCTGTAATTATCCTAGAGGTCACTAAAGGCCATTTTATACAGTCATGTCCATTTTAAAGAAATGGTCTCACTACAGTCAAATGGTTACTATGGAGGCTGACATCAACACACATGAATAATATTGAGCTCATTGAATCATAAAGAGTCTTAACTTTCCAGTAAGACTCAATTTATGTATTTCCAAGACCAGTACGCACTAACATTCAACTACAATAGGCAATAATTACACATTTATACTGCATGCTAAAAAACTGCATGGGACTAGCATGAAGTGGGCATGTCTGTTGAAGGGAGACTTGTTGGTACCCACAGGATCTGTTTTCATTCAGATATCTTAAGGCCCTGACACACCACACTGTGGTGAGCGTCTGTCGGCCTAGTTTTTGCGTGTGTCCCGCATCGTCGGCACTTTGGCGTCGGCAGTTTTTCGGCCGATTGAGCATGTTGAATCGGCGGCGGAGCTTGTCGGTGAGAGAGAGATCACTCTGATTGGCTGTTCAGGTTTTATTTCCTCGCCCCTGTAGCAGTGAATCTGCCTGTTGTGAAACCGGGGCTAACCAGTGCTTCCTCCTCAAGTTGCTCACAGACTTGGGGTACTATAAGCGGAGCGGACTCCGCGAGGAATGTCCAGTCATTCGGTCTTTCATAGTCGAGCGCACTTCCGCGTTGTAGTTTCCTGTAAAAATGTTCATGAAAAATCCCCGCGATGTGAAAAATACATGCCGAGCAGTATGGAAAGCCCAAAGTGCCATATATTGCCACTATTTCAACGCTACCTGTCTTAAGACGCCGCTTTTTAGGGCTGTTTTTAATTTAAACGCCACAAAAAATGGCATCTTACTTGTCTAAAACGCCACTTTTTCCGGCGCTTTTGCTGGGAGTCTTAAAACGACGCTTTTAACGCCGTAATAACTGTCCGAAGAACGCTGTTATTTACGGCGTTCTTCCAGATTATGATAATGACCCCTGCCCTCTGTTTAACACCACTAATAAGTTCAATGTTTCTGAAACCAGTCAGCGGAGAGCACAACGAGACCAAAACAATGGATCCACGAGACTTGGCTGCTGTGTTGCTCTTTTGTATTGCTAGAGGAAATTACTAAAATTCAAAGGATTAATTACTGATCTGCATGAAAATATAATCACCATGGCTGGATACGCTGTGCTCAGAATATATCGGTATATAAAATAAATAAACAAAACCTTAATCATCGTATTGTACATTTAACCGTGAACCAACCAGAGCGCTACCTCTGTGAGAGACTTGGGCTTGCTCAATAGATAACTGTGTGTATCAGCGTCATAAGTTTTTGAACATGGGAGTAACTGTAACGAGTAGCATCTCAAAATAAATGTTTTAGCTAGAGATTGTTCAGATAATTATGGCATAAAAACACAGCAAAAAGCAAGACTAATAAATGGAAATTGTATGACGAGTAATACATTTGGACTTAATACATTTTGAAAAATATTGTAGACATTATTTGACACAGAGCTAGAGGCAAACCACTTTTAAATGTGCTGCAAAGGGGGAAAACTTATGACGCTGATACACACAGTTATCTATTGAGCAAGCCCGAGTCTCTCACAGAGGTAGGCTAGTGCTCTGGTTGGTTTACAGTTAAATGTACAATATGACGATTAAGGTTTTGTTTATTTATTTTATATACCAATATATTCTGAGCACAGCGTATCCAGCCACAGTGATTATACTTTCATGCAGGTCAGTAATTAATCCTTTGAATTTTAGTAGGCCTAATTTCCTCTAGTAATACAAAAGAGCAACACAGCAGCCAAGTCTCGTGGATCCATTGTTTTGGTCTCGTTGTGCTCTCCGCTGATTGGTTTCAGAAACATTGAACTTAATAGTTGTGTTAACAGAGGGCAGGGCTCATTATCATCTGGAAGAACGGTGTAAATAACGGCGTTCTTCGGACAGTTATTACGGCGTAAAAAGCGGCGTCTACTGTGCCTTTCTACAACACCGTAAAAAAAACGTTTTATGACACTTTGTCGCGTTAAAAGCGCCGTTTTCCGGCTTCCAGCAAAAGCGCCGGAAAAAGCAGTGCTTTAGACAAGTAAGATGCCGCAAATACTAGGCCGACAGACGCTCATCGACGGCCCGACTTTGGTGGATGGCCGACTGTCGGCTTGGTGTTTCAGGGCCTTTAAAGACAGGAAGTTGGCTCGGATCGCTGGTGGCCTGGCGGCTGTCAAGAGGGTCAACGCAGCTCTGTCATGACCAAAAACTGCTCGTCAAAGTGAAACATCCATGTATTTTAACATCCTCTCTTTCTGTCACTGCTGCTTTGGTCTCTTGTTCATACTTAACATTAGTTTATCTGCTTGCACTCTCTGATTAAATGCTGAACTGTAATTCCTTGTATTGGTACTTAGTCATTGCAGTGACAGTAAAGCTGAATGTCATCTGATCTAAAACACAAACTCACCCCATGACTTCACTTAAAATGTTCTACATATCCTTTTTTCCTCCAAACTGTGGCAGCTTTTGTGTCGGAAAGAGCAGGAATATTTACTCATTTAACCCTGAGATATTTCTCCAGTTGAGTTTGTTAAATGTATTTCTTTAGAGTTGGCTGTTTACACAGTCACAGTCATCCATAGTCACATACAAACAACGAAGGAAACATTACAAACAAATTCCAAATGAAAAGAAATGCATAGAAAGTGAAAATACAAGTTTAGTCTATTTGCGTCAGGCAGCTAAATACAAATGGATACACACAGGGAAGAAAAATCTTATTTTGCCTGCCCCATTCTCAGAACATAAATAAACAAAAGAAACAGATGGTCTGTCAATAACAGTTACTTAACTAATACTTACAGTAACTTAGGAAGAAAAATAAAATAAATAAGAATCAAACCATACACAGTAAGTCGCCTTCAATAAGGGACAGATTACCTGACAGCTTCATATATGTCTAGTTATTCTTTCTTTGTACATTTTCTTGAACTGAAAGATGTTTATACAACCCTTTGAATCATTCTGTAGAGAATTCCACAGTTTGACGCCAACCACTGAAGTACCCATCTGCTTTAATGTAGTCCGTGCAAACTGGTGCTTAAAGTGAAATTTTCTTGTATGCTCCTCATCCTTTGAAACTTCTGTAAATGTTCTGGTAACACTCTGCTTTTTTGCCCTATATATAACCAATAATGTATGCAACTCAACTAACTTTCAATAACCCTGACTTAATAAACAGTCTGTTGGTATGTTGTCTTAGATTCATTTAATGAATAATTCTTACTGCTCTTTTCTGTAATAGAACAATGGCTTCATGTTACTCTTGTATGTGCTGGCCCATACTTCCACGCAATAACTAAAGAATGGTAAAATAAGTGAACAGTACAGAACTTTCATTGCCTTGCAGTCTAACACATATATTGCTTTGTTCAAAACATAACTACTTTTAGACTCCTCTGTCTTTACATGTGCTATATGAGATTTCCATGACAGTTAATCATCCATTATCCTACCCCAAAATCTAACATTTTACCAGGGGTAGGCAACCTGCAGCTCCTTTGCCCCACTTCAGTGGCTCTCTGTGGCTTTGACCTGAAAAATATGTATATTTTTATTTAAATGTTCATTCATCATTGTTGTAGGCCTTGCATTCTCCAGTTGTAAAAATGTGTAACTTCAGCACCAAGAAAAAACGTTCAACATTTCAACAAGAAAAATGAGTATCACTTGTCTAAAGCAATGATACTCAACTTGTGGCCCTTGGGCCAAATCTGGCCTGTGATAAGGTGCCTGGCTGCCTCTCGACCCTTTTCTAATTCACAATTAAATTAAACTGATTCACACTGGGATATTGTTTTGTACTTTGAATGTGAATAAGGGGCCAGAGTGCCTTAAAAAGCATTAAAATAAACCTTGTCTATCAAAAAGTGCCAGGGGAGGATCCAACGGAAGCCCCTACACTAGAAATATGTGAAATGCTACAAACTGGACCCTGGTCTCCTGTCATTTTGTATAAGTGGCCCCTGAGCAAAGCAAGTTGAGTATCCCTGGTCTACAGCTGAGTGCCTTTTCCTCTAAATTTTGCCAAACCAAATACCAAATAATCACTCAACGGCCCACTGCAGAGTATCCACCTTGTGGTGAAACATATTAATGAATGCTCAGTAAGACCTATAAATAATGTTGCTAGGCTACTTGGGACTTAATAGGGTGTGTTATCCTCACTAACAGGTTTAAATATATTTTGCCGCTCCAGATGGATTTTTTTTAAAATATTGATTTTGGTAAAAATGTCTCTTTTGATAATAAAGGTCGCCAACCCTTGTTTGTATACAGGGGTTTCTGTATATACTCTAGATAAAAAAGTGCTGTATACAAATGGCCAGATCTGGCTTAATACAGGATTTGGTCCCAGCATTTATTGTCAGGAGAACATTAGCCTTCGAACATTAACACATTCCCACAACATATGTAAACTTGGTATGACATTTCCAGTGACAACTGTCTGACCTTCCCCTGACCTTCTTATTTGAAGTGACACAGTGTAACATTGGAGTAGTTTCAGTTTTTTTAAAAACTCAGTTTTTATTTAGTTTTCATCAACAACAGTACAATGTATACATTTTCCTTTTTTTCCCAGCTGTATGTAACATTTGTATACATTATATTCAGAAAATATTGGAACATAAACCAAACAAGATGACAACACAAATATCCACTCCAACATATTAACCCATGACTAAGCAAGAGCAACATTTAAGTATAAATAGGTATAGGCTACATTTTGTTTTTGTTTTGGTTTTTTTTTGCTTTTTTTTCTGTTGTTGTTTTTTAAGGAAGTGAAAAAAAATAAAATTATTAATTGTCCACTCCACATTATAATCACACAAAAAAGTACGGGTGCCAAATTTGTACTACAGACAATGACATATGTGTATGGTTTGTGCATAGGGGAGATATAGAAGCAAAAAGCCTGGCAGAGGCCTACTGGATGATAGACCTCACTTTATTAATGAAGGCATGACAGGACTCCATCGTTTAGTAAAGATGGATGTTTGAATTCTTAAAGAGTATGTAATTTGTTCCATGTGATAGAGGTCCCAGTCTTTCTGGATCCATGTATTATATGTGGGAGGGTCTGGTTTCAGCCATCTGATAGTTATACACTTTAAGGCTGCTGTAAGTAACATATGCAAGAGGTATTTCTTATACCTCACTTTCAGACTTTAAGGGATAACACCCAGTAGTACTGCTGAAGGGTCTAGTGAAATTTCTTGTTGAAAGATCTCCTTAAGGGCACCAAATACTTCTCTCCAGTATAAACTTAACTTCGTACATTGCCACAATATACGGATGTGGTTAGCAGTGCATGTTCCACAGTTTCTCCAACATGAACTGGGATGTGTTGGACTAATTTTTGAAACTATTTCTATTTCTTTTGAAAAATCGAATTATTATTTTCCATTTAAATTCTCTCCATGTGTTGGAATTTGTGACCAGATGCGCCTCAGTGCATACCTCCTTCCAAGTGTCCTGTGATATGGCCATATTCATCTCTGCCTCCCACCTCCACCTTACCTGTAGCGTGTTCTGTAGATTCATAGATAAAAATATCTCATTTCTTTTAGAAAGTTTTCTATGGATGTGGGTTTTATGAGTTCACCCCACTCACTGTGTGTTGTCAGAAAGGTTCTTAGCTGCAAGTATCTAAATAAATCTGTCCAGGGGAGATCAGTCATTTTTCAACTGTTCGAATGTCCTAAGATTATCATTGTAAAATAACTGATGCAGCTAAATCAGTCCACGATCTGATCATGTTCTAAAGCCAGCATCAATACTGTTAGGTGTAAAGGTCCTCGTAGATCCAATACTTGTCAATGAGGAGATTAGCTTTGGTAGTCCAAAAGCTGACTTAATTTTATTCCAAATTTTAAGAGTAATCTTAGTCCAATGTGACATTTCTTGTGTACGGGCATCTAGAAAGGGTAGGATTTTCAATGACTCTGTACTTAAATGTTTTTCAATATTGAGCCAGCGGGTGTATCATTCTGAATCCATACTATCAGAGGCTTCATTTGTGCAGTTAAAATTCTGAGGTGCTTATTTTGCCAAATAAATTTCCATTTTTTAAAAATTCAAATTACAATAGTCTAGAGTAGACTTCGGAATTTCTTTAGGTAACATCTGAAATAAGTAAAGAAGCCTGGGCAGAACATTCAGACGAATACTTTCAATGCGACCCAGTAAAGAAAGTGGGAGGGTAAACCATTGTTCCAGATCATTACTACTGTAATTAACATCATAAAGATTCTGTAAAGATGGAGGAATATATATGCCAAGGTACTTCAAGGGCCATCTAAATTGGAAGTTTAGCAGTTTGTGGGATATTGCCATTGATATCCATTGCCTGTTTTATCCACATTTACCTTGTATCCTGAGTAGTACCCAAACTGAGAAATAAGCTCCTTCAGGTGCTGAAACAGTTTCTCACTAATATCAGTGTTCTTTCTGTTGTTGTATACCAGGTGAAAGCGCTAAAGGAGAAAATAGAGAAGGACAGAGGAAAAGATGCATTTCCTGCTGCAGGACAAAAACTCATCTATGCAGGTGAGCCAGATGGTGACTTTGACAAAGTTACAGAAGAAAATACACTGAATGGTTATATTCAGTTAGACTGAGGCCCCAGAAAATGATTGGTTTGTTTAATCCTGTGAAAACGGAACAAATTGGCCTGGTCTCTTTCAAAAACATGGGAAGAAGGCAATGAGCAACGAGAGAAGGACTGACTGCTTTTTTTTCCTTTTTCCCTAGCTTTTTAAAGATAATTTTCTAAATTTATCATTTTCTTGCAATTTGTGGAACATTTCTTACCAAGTTGCTCATTGCCCTTTTTCTCAATGTTCTTGAAAGAAATTGCACCTCTTTGCTGAAGGTTCAAAGGTTTGAATATTGGCAAAAGGCGTCTGAAAATAACAATAACACAAGCACAATAATAGTGATGTCGTTCCAGGGTTTAAAGAGTTAACTGGCAAATATGTTTGTTAAAATGATTTCTGGGGACAGTTCAACTCATATTGATTCTTCCCCCTTTTGATCACCCTCCAAAATTAGCGATGCATGATATGTCATCGGTATCGGCCAATATTGGCTTTAAAATGAACAGAATCAGCCCAATGAATATTACATACACTGAAAAGCATTGTATTTTATGTCTCCATCTGCTGGTGGGACATCACGAGTTTGCATATAATATGTTGTTAATCCCACTACAGGAGAGACTAATTGATCATTAATATTAGGAAGGGAAAAATAAGTTGTTATATATCGGCATAGTGGTTATCAGCAAAAAATCCAATATCGTGCATCCCTATTCAAAATCATTGCCCAAGGTTTATATTTAACAGTAACCAATGCCACAGTATTTAGAATTCACGCTAGGTAACTCAGTTGTCAAACTAAACTAACCATGTATTAAAATGACCACAAACACACTAAAATAATTGTTGATATTGACATTGTGGCCAAAATGCACTCCTAGATGTCGACATTTAGAAAACGATGGGCTAGAAAACAACTTTTTTGGTCCCCCCAACACCGAAACTGGTTTGGACAGGAATTTGTGTCACATCTGTTGTCAAGATGCTGTGACAGTGTTTTATAATAAATACCATTCAAAGCAGTAGTCTACCTAGTCATTGCACCTTTGAGAAATGAACATCTGCACAAATAAAAGTCCACATATAAAATGTTAAGAGGAGAGGTCAAACAAAACCATGCTTAAAAAGTCACAGTACTAGAAATTGCAATGTAGGATAATAGCTTATTATTATTATTATTATTATATCTACAGCATACCTCTGATATGTCCTAACAGGTTTCTGCATTATGTTTGATTCTGTTGCATATGTTCCATGTTGAAGACTATCCCCAGCTGAGTAATATTATATAAATAATTATAATAATAATAATAATAAAGTACATTAGAATTTCATGTTTTGTGAATGTTAACATCATTACATTTTGCAGACATTGCGTTATGGTGGGTATGGTATGGTATCACACCTTACAACTAGATGTTGTTAAGTCAAGAGACATAGGGTCTCATTCATGAAACGTGAGCAGAAGGAATTTGTGTGTAAACTGTTCGCAGACGGAAATTTACGTGCGTGTCCGCATTCATCAATATTTTAGTAGCTCCGATCTTTTCGTAGCTACTAACAAAATCTACTCCTGCTCCTGACCACTCATAGTGCTTGTGTAAATATAGTAAAGCACATAAATATTGCTTGTCACTATTGGAAATTCCAATTTTAATTCGTATTGCGCTCTGTTACGTACACAATACACAGATGCCTTTGAAACACGTAATCTAAACATGACAAAATATTAAAAATATAACACATTTAGTTAAATTAGTTGGTAATTAGTAGGTTTAAGATCCAGATTAGGTTCATGATTGTGAATTATCTATGTAAATCGACTCAATAGATTACACGTTCTTTCTACATGTTGAGTGATGATAATAAAAATATCCGTAAGGACACAGCCTCTTTGGCCTTCGGCCGTTCCCACTTCATTCAAAACTCCACAAATGAATCTTCTGTTTGTTTGGTGACCGCTGTATTTTTGTGTGTGCTTATAGGCCATGAGGTGAACGCAGTTATCGTTTCATCTCGTTCCGACATCTGGGGACTACACGATCTTTATTTCATAAAAAAAGATCGATACATGTTCAGCTAATCAGCGGGAGTTCGTAGCTCATAACCCCGCAAGAGTCCTGTGATCGGGGTCGTAATTCGGCACTTGTTCCGTCTGAGAGTAATGATCTGTTCCGCCTGAGCGTTATTCGCTGGGTCGGTGGTGAAGTGGCGCACATGACTCGTGCTACGGACGGACGGACAGACAGACACGTATCTTAAACAGGTAATAGGCCTACATCTGGCTACATCTTTCCCACATAAAATATCCGTGATCACCTACACCCGCGTGCGTAAAAGCGCACACAATTCCGTGTCCTTTCACCGCGGATGCTGTGATTTGATGGCCCGGTACTCATTGTAGCCCACTCTTAGATGTCGGAGCGGAAATCAGTTTCTGTGAGACTTTTTCTGATTCACCTTACGGCCTATTATGCATTTCTTTGCCTCCAGTTTCATATCAAACCATTTACGCTTCACCTCTGACATGGTTCTTTGTACCACGGAGACAACATTAACAGCATCTGTGACCTCCCTCCAGGCCTTCGCTTTGTCTGTCCCTGTCACACCACTACTAGCTAACTGAAGAAAATAAAATGTTTTTTCTTAAGTCCACTTCACCCAAAATTATTTCGATCTCCGCTTCGGAAAAATTCTTTTTTCTTTCACTCTCTTTCTTTGTTTGCGCCATGACTGACAGGTCGACTGGATGCACCTACACCTCCTTATATGGTGGTCATTGGCTATTCATGGGCGGGGATTTATGCTAATTGCCGATTACCGGGGGCGCGCTGTTTACGATCAAATCTGAGTTTCCCGCGGCGTTCCTGAATCCGGAGTAGGTTTTTAGTAGAGTAGGCTTTTATGTGCAAATCTACACACAGATTTACTCACTTTTCATGAATGAGACCCATAGAGTTGGCATAAGACTTGGTTACTTAACACAACTTAAAACCAACAAAATATCAACGTTATCTGTAGTCAGTATTCTACATCAAATTGATGTTGGCATTAAACGCTGTCCTGACATTGAATTTGATCACCTGATGTCACAACCTAAATTTAAACAAATATCAGTGTCTGACGATGTTGGTGGCCAGTTGGGTCCTACCTTCTTATTAAAATTGTGTTGTAAGTCTTATTTGTGGTTTCTGCTTTAATGTCACAGGCAAAATCTTGAATGATGACACTCTGCTGAAAGAGTACAAAATCGATGAGAAGAACTTTGTGGTGGTCATGGTTACCAAGGTTAGTGTCTCTTTGGATTGTTTTTTGTAGACAGTCATGTCATACTGCTCTCTGCTGCTTTGGGTTGTCTTTATTTATTCACTCATTATTCCAGTCTCTCATTGTACTTTTCTGTTTATGGTTGCTGTTAAAGCCAAAGTCAGAGGTATTCAAGACTTCCTACATCAGTGCTTCACATTAAAAGACCTCCAGCTAGTGTCCTGCATGGGTCTATTTTTGAAAACCTGCACCCGCACCTGTCCACAACCATAAAGCTCAGTACCGGAACCGACCCATTACCTGTCTTTATGTCTAAGTCAAAGCTGAGCCCGCCCACATCCCTTAATAAAAGTCCTGTGACCCAGGAAAATTTTGTTCTCACCTGCTGCCCGCCTGTGTGTAGTTCATTTTTACCCGTGCCCGTACCCTTAAATTTATATATATGTACATATATATATATATATATATATATACACACATATGTATACACACACACACACACACACACACACATATATATTTACAGCGTTTTGCAGGTCCTTGACCTGGTGCAGGACTCTGCTTCCAGCAGTGTAAAGGGAATCCCATTCCTGGTAGGCATTTCATTTTACACCTAGAGGAAGTATAATAGATTTTTTGACAGTAGTTTAATAATGGTTACAATCAAATGAAAAGTAGGAGCAATTGAAAATTCATTTCGTCCGTATTTCTGCATGTTTCCATAAAGCTTACGGATACGGGCCAAACGGAGCAGTACCACCGGGAACCGTGGGGTCAGTGTTGCTGTTACTACCCGATAGGTAGCTCTTGTGAGACACGAAGAAGAAATAACAATTCATCTCATCGGCAGTACTAGAGAAAAGAATTCTCCGTCCTCCAGTCGCGAAGTATTTAACGGCCTCACCGACCACCACCTCCTACAACGCTGCCCCTGTTTTTGTCTTTTATACAAGAGGTACATTATCAATATCTCCTCCACTGTCGCCATGTTTGTTTTTGAGTTTGTTGCTGTCATAAACTTTTGACGCTGGGCTGCCTCCTGGTGGATATATTGGTTAACATCCATGCCAACATAAAGGGCGCATGGAAGTATCTGGGCAGTGACGGTAACATCATTTGAAACGGACGTATACATTTTCGTACGTAAAGGGAGCATAAATGAGCCCTTAGCCTTATGGTTGTACCAACCACTAACCATGCAACATACACTAATCAGCTGCAACATTAAAACTACTGACAGATGAAGTGAATAACACTGATTGTCATTGGGAAAGGCATTGCCATGAGGGGGTGTACTCGGTCTGTAATGGTGTTTGGGTCATTGGAGTGTGTTAAGTCGCATTCACATGAATGCCAGGACCCAAGGCTTCCCAGCAGAACATTGCATTGTAACAAAATGATCGATGTTATTCACTTTACCCACCAGTGGTTTCAAAGGGTTAGTTCTGGTTTTTTGAAGTGAGAGTGTATGAGGTTCATATACATAGTCAGCACGTTACCTTTAGTAAATGACGCTTGGTATCATCCTTGCCCCCCCCCCCCCCCCCCCCCCATTTACATTAACAAATAGTTGAAGATAGAAACTAAACCAAAATACTTAAGGAATGACTGTGATCACACATTATCCATCATAGTCAGCCAAAGACTCATGCTATTATCTGAAGGACTCCACTGTCGTCCATATCTCTACTCTTTACCCCCGCAAAATGACAAACAACCTCTGACTATGACAATATGACATGACTGAGCTGTTGTACCGATAGAATTGCTCCAAATTTACCATGTAAGACAATGTAGTACGGGTAATTCCTATTTTTTACCTAGCCTTTATAAGTGACCAGGCTATTTGTTAAGCCATTATTTGAATACCAGCTTTCATTTGACTTATGATAATATGCTGATATGTGCTGATATGAAAATATAAAATACAAACTCATCAGTAGGGCTGGGCGATTAATCAAATTTTAATCTCAATTACGATTTTGGCTTCCCACAATTATGAAAACAGGATAATCGAAATGAAATGATTATTGTGCTGCATGCCGTGGTGGCGTGTTGCGCTTTGTCTTGTGTTGTAAAAGCAGCGTATCCTTCCTTTCCCGGCAGCTGTGTGTCTAAACATTTTCTGTTTCAGCTCGTGTTGAGAGGGAATAGGGAGTCGCGCGGCACGTTTCTCCAGTGTTTTGAATTTGAAACTACTTGAAGAAGATGACAGAAGTAAGGTAAAACTAAGGCGACATGGCGGGATGCTGTTAAGTAACATGTTCGCTGCTGTTTGTGTTAAATTGCGAACTTATTCCACAAATTTGTCAGCGGTTTTGAGCTGGGAGAGCTTTTTACAGCGGTGACGCAGAGCTGCATGCACAAAGCAGACACGCACACACACAGGCAGGAGGAGTAAAATCATCCCACAGATCATCGCACGAGTCGTTCTTTTTAACTTATGTGTAGCAGAAGAAGCAACGGCCCATTTAACCAGGAACACATGAAAAGCTTTGTGCTATAAATCCATGAGGTTATCGGCTCTGTGTGATTAAAAACAAGCAGAATCACCTGGTGACAGGTGTGCTGTTGTGTTGTGTCACGCCACTTTTAATTCTGCAATGCCAGCACGCGGTGTATAAGGACAAACTGGGGCGGCTTTGATCAGTGAATAATCGTGTTTAATAATCGTGATTTCAATGCCAGTCAAAATAATCATGATTATTATTTTTGCCATAATTGCCCAGCCCTACTCATCAGCCTGGTCTAGTTAAGTGAAATGAATAATGCAATGTTGCTACTTTTGGTCATCATAACCACACAACTATGATCATTTCTTAAATGTCTTTTTAGCCTAAACCAGCTCCTCCTCCTCAAGCAGCCCCTCAGCCAACTCCCCAACCAGCTGCAGCTCCAGCACCACCCTCAGCCTCTGGCCCAACACAAGTGCCCTCCACACCGACACATACGGTGTCTGCACCCACACCTGCACCACAGTCAGTGCCTCCCTCTGAAACCTCGCCCACAGTCCCAGAAAACACCTCCCTGGCTTCTGTTGAAGCAACAGCAGCTCTGGACTCAAAAACTGCCCCAGCCTCAGCTTCAGCTCCTCCTCCTGCTGCTGCCCCAGCTCCAGCACCAGAAGTTGTCCAGACAGCCCCAGCCCCAGCTCCAACTCCGGTCCCCGCAGACCAACCCACCCCCACTGCCCAACCAGAAGACAAGCCAAGGGAAGAACCTGAGAATCAACCATCTGGCACTGCACAAGTCCACTCCACTGTTCCTAGGTTGGAGGAAACCCATGTTTATGTACACTAAGAGTTTAATGCATCATCGGGTTAAGCAAGAAACCTGTTTAAAATGTCATAACTGAATTAGAAAACCTGCATTAGCTAGGAAAGCTCACACTGGGATAATGCAAACCTGGTTTGATGGTTAATTTTCTCTGAACAAGTTCTAATGGCATGAAAACACTTAACTGCTGCTTTCTTCTGTCTGTTTTTTCTCCCCTACTGAGAATCAGGATTATTGTGTGTCTTTAACACAGCATGTTGCTGAGCAGTTAAAGTATTCATTTTTCTTAAATGAACCTAGCTAAGACTCAAATAGTAAGACTTTTCCCAAAGTCCTGTTCACTCACAACAAGAAATGCGAATCAGTTTTAGCCATGCCAGAGACATGGCAATGTCGGTCTGTCTGCTGGTTGGTCTGATCAGATTGGTCCAGACTAAAATATGTCCACAAATAATGCAGTTACATTTTGTGCAAACATTTATGTTCCCCTCAGGATGAATTGTAATAACACTGCTGATCCCTTAACCCCTTGCTCCATCATCATGTAAAAATTATAATTTCTCCAATACTTTGGTTAATGACCAAATACCTTTAACACTAATGAGTTTTACATTGTGTTAAATTCTTATTAGTCAATGTTGGCATGAAGACATGCTAAATGAAGATGTTACTTAATACCCGCTCAACATTAGCATGCTAGCATTCAGCAGCCTCACAGAGCTAGGTGGATGCTTACTGTAATAGCATGGGCATTGGAATGTTGATTTACTTGACTGATTGATTTTTTTTCTTTATTCATTTCTCCCAAAGCCTTGTTGATGAGCTGGGCCTCCTTGAAGAAGCAGCATCAATACTGGGTAATGCATCTGTGACTTTTCTTTCCTATGTCATAAATGAAAAAATACCACTGTGTAGGTTATATGTTGGTTTTCCTTTAAACCTTAGTGCTTGGTTGATAGAACCTGAATGAACTAGCTAGTGGGATGTGTTGTCCAACCATGTCCAAAGACAAAGTGACTCTGCCTGTTCTAAAGGGCCACACTGGATGACAAACCTGCAGTTGCAGCCTCCTCTCCACTGCATCCCTCTGCCTCCCTGATCAAACAACTCTGTGCTTTAGTGTGTCTTTTTAGTCTCAACATGAAGAACTGTCCAAAAGGGGCACACTTTCAGATAGTCTGTCCTAACAGGCATAGATGGTGTTGAACTCAGGTAACTCGAGTCCTGAGACACTGGTTATGTAGTTGTCAAATGAAGTGGGCCTGTTTTCACAGTCAGAAAGGGGTCTTAAAATATCCTCAGCTGACATGGAAAATGTCCTGTAATTTGTTAAAACAGTTTTACAGTGTGTTTATGCAGGTAGAAGATTAGGGAAACTTGATTTCTCCTGCTAGATTCTGTTGGACAACACTGATTTCTTGGCCGTGTATATATGTAACCAGTTTTCAAATTGGCTTTTTCTATGTAGGATGTCTAGGACAGATGGGGAAAGTATCACTTGGACAGCTGCCCAGCTGGCTGAACTGAAAAAGATAACTACATGCCGTGATGCATGCCTGTAGTAAAAATAATGTAATTCAAAAGAAAGACTTAAGGAAACGCCTACTGATATACTTTGGTTTATTGTGTTACATTTAATGTTACTAATGATCTAATGTGCATAGACTAATAACAATACAGTTAACATTTTGAGTTCCACAATAATCTTGTTTTACTGTGTTATGTATATGTTAGGCGATTCATTGTTTTTAAAATAGGCTAGTTATCCTTTTCCTTAAAAAGACACATATACACCTTAATTTAAAGGTGTACATTTATTGTAATCAAAACAATTACTGGGAAAAAGCAGGTACTGGCACATACAAACAGAAGCGAGTACAGAAATACTCATATCTTTGCTTTATGTAACAAGAATTTCCCACCAGGGATCAATAGTCTTTCTTATTTTGATTACCAGGCTATACAGTATGTTTAACAAACACTCATATCTTTGCTTAATGTAATACAAAAAAAAAAAAAATTACAGTTACAAAAAAAATTCCCACCAGGGATCAATAGTCTCTGATTCTGATTACCAGGCTATACAGTATGTGTAATAAACTCTCATATCTTTGCTTAATGTAATACAAAAATAATTAGATTTACAAGAAAAAATTCCCAAAGGTCTGACCTAGTGTTTGAATCCCATTAGTCCGACCTCCCAAAAATCTGACCGCAGTAAAGTTACATTTCAGGGGGGACCAGGCAACTTCCTCCTTTCAATAAACACAGAGCAGCGGTACCACTAAACAGCTGCAATGTCTCTATGCGCGGACTGTGAGGACAGTTGAGTTTATCTCATCGACGGGAAATTACATCATCTGCTATATGTGACCTACATGCCCTTATTTGGATAACACATCCTGGTATTCCCCAAACACGGGAAGATGTTTTAAGTAGCGGGGGCTGCCAACTGAATGAATGAATGAATGAGTGACATCATTGTATTTTTTTTTCCTGCTGTATAGCGCATCGCACGTCGCCACTCACTAGGCTGCTGACTGGCTGCCATAAGCTACACACAATTAAAACATTAAGAAGTTCTAACAAATGCAAATTTTATTAGGAGGCCAACAGTAGAATTCATCACATGACAAAAGCAGACAAGAACTACCGTAGTTTGAGCACTGTCGTTGGTGCTGAAGATGTCCCCGAACCTGTTACAGGCAGCGGTTATAACAAAATCACTTTAAGCGCTATCCTTGGTGCTGAAGATGCAAAAACAAACAAATGTCTATACTCCAAAACTCACTACCTCTGACATGACGAACCAAGACAGTGTACATAGATTAAAAAAAACAACATCAGCAGAAAGTCCTGCAAACCAACAGCAAGCGGCGATCACCATGGCCAAATAACGTCGCATATCTGTAACTAGAAAAGCATTCGGAGAGCTCAGACCTCCGCCAAGCAGCTCGGATTTCCCTCCATTTTATTATTTTATCCACTTCGCTTCAACTGATCACCACCAACATTTTATCATCTGTTCCTTGTCCCATTATCAACCTTTCCTGAAAATTTCATCAAAACCCGTTCAGAACTTTTTGAGTTATTTTGCAGACAAACAGACAAACAGATCAACACCGGCGAAAACATAACCTCCTTGGCGGAGGTAATAAAGAAAAAAAAAACAAGACAGCTGTTGGCAACTAACGCTGTTGCTGCTGCAGCTACTATTAGGCTACTACTGTTATCCAAACTAAATTAAAGGAAGCAAAGATTGTTTAACCTATAATTCCACATTATGTTGCCTTCTTTCCACAGCAAATAAATTATTTCCTTTTAACGAATGGCTCAGAGAAATGCTGTCTAGCAAAGTTAAATATTTTCACCATCATTTTAGTTATGAAATAGCCTCACATGTGATATTCAAGGTGCACGCACACACAGGCAGGATCTCACACACATAAAACGTGACTGGAATTAATAAACAAGCAGTACATGCACAGTGGGGGTTATTTGTTTTCTGTATCAGCGTGACACACTGTGTTAATTGAGTGAATTGTCCGAGCCGGACGCGTGTTAATTTGAGTTTGATTTAATTTAATTACACTAAAGTTTTTGAGTTAAACTAACCATATGAGTCATTTTCGTTTTTATACAATTTATTGCTGCATTTTGAAAGCAAAAAGAGTTAAGTTTTTTTGGGGTTTCATGTTATATCAGGGATTTCAGCTTGGCACCGTGAACCTGTGCCTCCCATGACCTGTAAAAGTAGCATTGTGACATGAGCCTCAGTTTCTGTTGTTGGCGAATTGTTACAAGCTGATGAATTCGCTGGTCAAGACTAGGCAAAACATTAGTACAGGTGAGATGACAGGCAGACAGATGGTTTGTCTCTAACAAAATACTTTCTGTAGACGTGCTGCAAGAATGGATTAATACTTAATATACATCTGCAGCCAGAGCGCATTACGCTGTCAATTGGCTTTATATGTGGGGAATACCAGGATGTGTTATCCAAATAAGGGCATGTACGTCACATATAGCACATGGATGTGATTTCCCGTTGATGAGATAAACGCAACTGTCCTCACAGTCCGTGCACAGACTGCTTCGTGTTGGAAGTGCTGTGGTCGGACTAACGGGCGGTCGGACTACTGGGTATGAAATCCGACGGTCGGAATAATGGCATTAATGTGGTCGGATTAAAGGGCAATGGACATTATGGGACTAAGACGATAAAACTCGCCGTAGACCTGCATGGTCGGATTAGCGGGTAGTTGGAGTTATGGGTAGTCGGACCTGTGGGAGGTCATACTAACCCCTGGTCCCCGCTGGTGAGTGGGGTGGCCAGCAAATTTATAGGGGGGCCACCCCTGGTGGCGCCATTGCAGGGGTCTCATTTATAAAACAATGTGTAATGTGTGCCCGTGGCTGGAGGCATTATTTTTACGGGTTGTCTGTACCTGTCCGTCCCATTCTTATGAATGTGATATCTCAAGAATGCCTCAAGGGAATTTCTTCAAATTTGGCACAAATGTCCACTTGGGCTCAACAATAAACTGATTAGTTTTTTGGTGGTCATAGGTTAGAGGTCCAGGGGCCTCATGTACAAAGACTTGCGTGGATTTCCTACTGAAACATGGCGTACGCTTAAATCCAGAAAACGTCGTACGCACAAAAATATCCAGATGTATGAATCTGTGCGTACACATGAATCCAAGCACATTTCCTTTGTACATCCCAATCAACGTGGAATTGAGCGCACATGTCCACGCCCCCATTTAAATATGCAAATCATATTTAAATGAACCCTGCACCTGAGATTTCCCTCTCTGCACCATCAGAAAACTAAAACAAAAGAATGAGTAAGACGGGAAAAAAGAAAAATTTCACCTTCCTTTTTGGCACGCTGTCCTCTGGCATCAATACTAAATGCAAAAGGAGTGAGTGGGAGAGTGTGTGTGACATTAAGGTGGACGTGAAGCGGAGGAGGGCTGCCCACCGCCAAAGTGTGGTCAAAACAGGTGGGGGGGACAGGAGAGGAGGAGCTCACCCCCTTTGAACAGAGAGTTGCCTGGGGTCAATTGAAAGCAGACAAATAATTATGTGAACTGGATTTACAGTTTCTATTTGTTAATCTTATACACCACTTACACGGATCACACACTATTGTTGTAAATGAATGCAGAAGTGCACCGGGGAAAAGGTGAGGCTGATTAAGAAATGTCACACTTTACGCATGGGTTTATTGACATGAGTACTTTACACACAGAGACAATCAGGGGCTTGTTAGAAAGATCTGAAGCTGTAGTTTAACCAGCAAAAACAGCAAGTCACCAACTTTAACCACTGACTAGTACTGATGCTGTGAAGACAGGATAATATTTGGGGGCGCACATGCTCAGTGCACATCAGGGGGATTAATATTAGGACAATTAAACAAATAAATTATTTACTCACCAAGAAGCCACCCATCGCACACAGTGCCAGCTAGTAGTCTGTTCCCAACCATACTGTTACTCAGAATGTATGAATCGTGCGTTGAACCAGGCCACCTCGCCACAATGTTGGTTAATCGCATTTGCGCATCACATATGATCTGTACATTGATCGAATGAAAATGCTTCCTGTTGACATAAACAAATTCATCCTGTGATGGTGCTTTTATACTGTAGCCATGTGTGTGCAGTCGATAGCTCCGATAACGTTAGGAAAACCGGCTGTCGCTGCAAATTGCGCTTTAATGTTGGCCTGTTCAGCTGCATTGTAGGGAATTTGATATACCTGGCTGACATGCGGATAATTCCGTCCCACACAGCTGGCATGGTTCGGCTCAGGGTCGACTGGCACAGTCCCGATCGGTTGGCCAGCTCCCTCTGGAATGCCCCTGTTGCTAGGAACCCCAGTGTGGTCAGCACCTGTATGGATACAGGCAATGCATGGCTCCTCACCGTGTCGCGCTGCCAGCTGCGCACAGTTCCAGGAGGATTGGCCTCGGGAACCTAAAGCAGCTGATGAGCCAGTTGTCATCATGTGCCAGTGCCATCTGTCTCTGAACACACACTCTCTTCGTATTGTGCCATTTACAAATCTTCTAATACTGCTAAAGCAGCCGTTGTTGTTAACGGTATTTTCGGCACCACTTTGCGCATGCTCTTATATCCACTCATCTAATTGCAGACACGTGGGTGTGTTAATTGTTCATCAGTGTTAATTGTTCATGTGTCTGTGATGTGCACATCACTCTGAGGACTAATTGTTTTCACATTTATTTATTATAACAGTTTCCCAGCATCACCTCTAAGTGTCGCAAAAGGATCAACAGCTGTAGAAACGTGCGTACGCCAGCCATGAAGTTGGCGTGAGGCACCGCACATTTCCACGGTCATTTCACTCTTGATACATCTGAACTTTGCCGTGGAAAAGGACGTACGCACCCTTTGTACATGAGGCCCCAGGTCACTGTGATTATATATCCAAAAGGTCACTGTAACATCATAATGTTCAGCAAAAACACTCTTCTGTCCATTGCTCGACATAATTTCTCAGGCACAGAAGGGGAGACATTTAATCAGACACTGAATTTGTGACACTAATCTTGGACATCCATCTTAAAACTGTGCTGATTGTATAGATTTTCTGTGCATCTGTGGGGGAATTGTGTGTGAAGCACTCATGTTTTCACAGACATGGCTGTAAACTGTAATGTAACTGTAATTTGACTGGTTCGCAAAGGTTAATTTAAAGACAATTTTTAGGCATTTCTTATTATGATAGTGACTGAGAGAGACGGGGGAGAGGGAGGGCATTCAAAGGGCTGGACACGAGTCTGGGTCGCTGTTGTAAGGACTCTACCCAGTGACCTACTGGGGTGCCATTTTCTGAGAGTGCTACTCTTCAGAATGTTCCATCAACATGGTTCTTATATCCCTGGATCATAAAATATGTAAATATTCATACGCATTCATATACAGATATTATTGTTTTGAAAACATGTCTAATAACACTTGTTTACCAATTGATGGCAGTTTGAGATAGACAAACAAGTTCTGAATATAATAATATGTGACATGTTTAATTAGGACAGGGTTCCTACTGCTAAAGGCAAGTTAGATTCAAAACTTTTAAAGACAATTTTTCAATGCCACTTGGAATAAAATTTAAGATGAGCATTCCATTAATCAGAGTTGAAGAAAAAAACAACATGAGCAGATCTCAGTTACATAGGGTTAGGGACAGTTTGTCAATGTTGTAACATAAATGACTTTTCGTGTTGTCATAAATGAGGGTAGAACAAAACTGGGAAATAGCTTGCATTTGTTGATGGGTTTTCTTGGTGATTTTGTGTTCCTTACTCTGTATGTGGGATTCCACTGCCTTGATTTACATTATGCCAAGTTGGAAAATCTTTTTGCATTAAATACATCAAGCCCTGTACACAATGCCTTTAGCCAGTTCCAGCTCTGAGCATCCTGGCAGGAAAGAAAAATATCAGTGTTACGCAAGCGGTTACGTCAGTGGGAGGCCTCCACATGGGGAAGACAGACGAACGCTCGGCCAATCATTGCATTTGGTCTGAATGCAATGATTGGTCGGAGTTTTCTTAGAACCATATGCGAATGGTATAATTATGAGTTTTTATCTCTGGTGGAATTTACTTACATTTTATTGTGCCATCAGCTTATTAATTAGCCTGGAAATCCAGACCCAAATCTAGAAAGATTTAGGGTCTGGCTATGAGTAATGAAAATGGCCCAACTTGAGGGGCGGCACCAAGCATGCATTTGTAAATATCACTGCATGCAATTGGATAACACTACGACCAATCAGAACAATACACGGGGTGACGTATACGCTTAGCTACCAGTGGAGCTAACTGGTAGATTAGACTCTTGCCGTATCTGGTTGGCAAAACAGCAAAAACGTCCTTCTTGCAAAGGAAAGACTCGAGCGCCGTCTTCTGTTCCTCTTTTAGAGAAAAAGCCAAGTCTAACTCGTTCATTGTAGTGGCCAAAGCCGTTTCAAACAACTGGTGTTCATCCATAGCCATCTTGCAATGTTTACTGACTGATTCCGGACTTCGTCGTCACAGCGCTGTCGTCATCTGTTTAGCTCGGTTCTGGCCCGCTTATATCAGATACACCGATGTAATTGGTGCAGCTCAGTTTCATGGGCATAGGTAATGAGCATCATTACTGATTGTCAGAGTGACTTGCTAAGCAAATTCAAATTGGGCTCTCGTGAGAATTCATGATTTCCAGGGTACTTATTAATAGCATTTTAACCTAAACAAAGAAAAGCGTAAAATTTCCAGAAAGGTAAGTGTCGCTTTAAGGCTTTATTTTTAGATTAATGAATTCAGTGCCTTTAAAGACTTCTTAAGGATATGTGGGGACCCCAAAAGACATGTAATGACTATTCCATTCTTTCATAACTTCATTTCAGTTTCATTCAGCTTCCATTGACCTGCTTTGTCTCTGTCCTACCTCTCCTGTTGTTTCCACAGTAACAGGTCCAGCCTATGAGAACCTGGTGTCAGAGATCATGTCCATGGGTTACGAGCGGGAACAGGTAGTCGCTGCACTCAGAGCCAGTTACAACAACCCAGACCGAGCAGTGGAATATCTACTCATGGTGAGCATTTAATCTGTCTGTGTGGTTTATTCACAGCCCTGCCTGCCACTGCAATCTAGAGTGTGAAGTAAATGTTTCTGAACTACAGGGTATTCCAGCAGAGGCCAGTGATCTGCCACCTCAGGAGCCAGTTAGACAGAGTGCTCCATCCAACCCCCCCACCGCTGCTACACAAGAACCACGGCAGCCCCCAGCAGCTGCAACCAGTAAGAGCACACCTTTATCACCACTATCTATGCTCGTTTATTCATAGTGGCAACAGAGTCCAACTGCAGGGCTCACTCCTGCTGACCTCAGATCTGTTGGCCAGTGGGTTGAGTGGAGTCCCCTATCTCTGCTCTGGGGGTAGAAGATGCACATAGCCCAGGAACTACTGGGATGGAGTTTGCAGTGCCGAATGCAGCTAAACAGCACTCACTGCCTCTAGTATCAGTTTAAGAACAAAGGGCAGACTTCATTTGTAAACAAATGGAACACCGGCACTCATAGATTTCAGATATCGACAGCCTGATGATAATAATAATAGTAATGATAATAATAATAATAATAATAATAACTTTATTTATATAGCACAATTCATGCATAAAATGCAACACCAAGTGCTGAACATTAAAGTCAGTCACTTCAGTGATGATTTGATCTTCAAGCATTTTAAACATATATATTAATTTTAACCAGAAGTGTAAATACTTTGTTTTCTCACTTTGAGAAAAAAAAATGTGGTCGAACGTTGTTCTGTGTGCTCCAACACCACTAAACCCCTGCTCTTGCCTTACAAGGACTCAGTGCACAAACCTGCCCGTTAAGAGAACCTCTCACTCCAGCCTGTTGGAGTTTTTCTGAAAAGGTTGGTGTGCAGCCCTATTCTGTAAAGGATAAATGAGGTGCAGATGTTTCTCTGTATCACCCTTGAAGAGGACATACATCGAGAACTGGACAGAGCACTGAGTAACAACCACCCCCCCCCCC